CGCCCATTCATCCATTCATCTGTCTCCTCACCTATGTGTCATCCATCCATCAGCGCATGTCCCCCTATGTTCATGTCATTGGTGCTGGCTCTGGCCACACCTCTGTGAACGATGCATTTCTGCCCCACCTTCCCACAGGCAGTCAAACCGACTGCGGTGCAGTGTAAGGGAAGAGGCAACTGCGGGGCCACAGCGTCTCTGAGAGCCCTGGATGGCAGCATGTGGAGGAGTCAGGCATGGAGTTGGTTCCCAGTGACACAGGCTTCGGGGAATTTGAACATGGGGACCAGCTGCTGTGAGGTACTTGGGGCTAGAGGTGTAGGAGGAGAGAGCAGGAGAAAGGGAGGCGTTAGCAGGTGGAGACAGACTGAGTAAGGACTCAGTGTGATTTGGGGATCACGGATACATGGTATACCTGACTGGGACCACAAACCAGATGTCGTCATCTGGCGTCTTCCTAAGTTATTAGCCACCCATGTTTTTGAGAGAAGGTCTAACCTAAGGTGGCTAAGCTAGCTGGCCATGAGCCCCAAGGATGATCATCCCCCATCCGCAGCACAGGGATCACAAAGTACACCTCACCACGTTTGTCCTTTTTAACGTTGGTGCTGGCGCTTTGAACTCAGGGCCTCACACGTGCATGCCAGACACTTCCCCCACTCAGTCATCTCTGCGGTCCCAGGGGCAGATGGGGGTCACCTTGAGGCCAGTGAGGGCCTCTCTGGGTGTGACAGCCTGACAGAGCCTCTCCAGGCTCTGCAGATGCCGGGGACAGCAGTCAACAGCCATGCAGGAGCCATGCAAATGGCTGGTCCAGGGCGGACTGTGACAGCCGAGTGATGGGCTTTATTAGTCCACGAGCAGAGTGGGTTTAAAATAGCATCGTGGTGGCAACAAAAGCAATTTGCTCCCGAATTTTTATTCTGAAGGGATGATGTGCTTTTAATCAAGCAGGGCGTCCCAGAATGCTTCTAATTACCCGAGTCAAGGGCTCGGCAGTCATCCTGGTGTTGACGCGGGGTGCATGATAAGACTTTCTACCAAACAGGTTCCCCCGGAGCTGGGCCAGGGACCAGGGTGTCTGCGACTCAGTGGTCTTCTAGAGTTCGGACTGGTGGTGAAGGGTCCCAGGTGTTGGTTCCAGGCCTTGGGACAGGGAGGGCCCAGCTGGAACTCAATAGAGCGACTCTGGGGGGGGGTGTCTCTGTCTGCTTTGGAACCCCATTTTGCTGTCTGTAAAATGTGGCCAGTGCTGGTGTCAGTGTGTGGGGACGAGGAGTGAAATACTCAGAGACTTAGCATCATGGCTGCCATGCTGGTGTTTGTGAGTCATCCTGGCACTCAGGAGACTGAGGCTGGTGGATTACTCATCCTGAGCCAGCTTGAGCTACAGAGCAAGATCCATCTTCAGTTAGTACCAGCTTAGTTTTGCTGCTGTAACAAACTGGCCCATGTCTCCAAGGCTAACAGCATGGGCTCCCTTCTCACCCACATTAGCATGTTCACCATGGTGCTTTGGTCTAGCCCACACCACCTGACTCCAGGAATATGACACACAAGTCATTTCCTGTTGACCACATCCAGTCCTGCAGCCCCGTGTAATCCAACTGATCTCAAAAGCCAGGAAAGGCAGTCTTAGGGTGTGTGGATGTAACAGTCAGCTTCTGCTGCGTAACAAACACCTGCTACATCTCTTTGGCATGCAATTGTGAGCCTGCACTTGTTCTCCTGGCCTCGGGCCAGCTGGATTTCACTGAAACGTGGGTGCTGTTGCATGAGTCTGTCACTGTCCTTGGGTATGTCGTGGTTCAGATATATCTGTGTCTTAAAATCGCCTCCAAGGAGCTATGCACATCGATACCCAGGTTGCAATTGGGAAATCCCCTGGCATAGTGATTTCAGGAATGGCTGGATCCAATTGCTCACTTCTCCGGAGTCCGCTGTGTTCCAGGCTCCCTGCAGAGGCCCTGGGCAGAGATGGCTGTCGATTTTGAGCCCCACACAGGGAGCTTGAATTTTTTTTTCTTTTCTTTTTTGATTTTCTGAGACAAGGTTTCTCTGTATAACAGTCCTGGCTGTCCTGGAACTCGCTCTGTAGACCAGGCTGGCCTTGAACTCACAGAGATCCGCCTGCCTCTGCCTCCTGAATGCTGGGATTAAAGGCGTGCGCCACCACCGCTGGGGGGGGGGGGAGCTTGAATTTTCATCTTTCCTTTTTCAAATATCAAATCGCCCAGACAGCATGACACAAAAGCTGCAGCGACTTCGGGTGCCTGATTGACGTGTAAAATGGGCAAATTATAGCCTTCTTTTCCCATGTCGCTGCTCACACTCCTGTCACGCTGTAGCTGGTCCTCAGGAACAGACTGGCTCCTCCAGTGTTTCCTCACAGGCTCCACGTCCAGGGGCCAGTGAGAGTTTTGTCTGGAGAGTCCTGATCCTTCCTCAGCTCTGACCACAGATGCATTTGCTTTCAGTCTGGGAGGCTGAGGGCAGAGTGCTAAGGGCAAAGCCAGAGCAGTTTGCTTAATTGATTTGCTCTTAATTGGCGCCTTTCCCAGAGGGTTGGGGGGAGGGGCAGAGCGCTTCTTCTAGCTTTGTTCTGAGATCATCTGACCCCAATCCTCCAGCAGCCTCCCAGGGGCTGGGGGCGTGGTCAGGGGTGAAGCCCCGCCTAGAATCCCCCCAGTGAGGGGCTGTGGGCGTGGCTCTGCCCAAATTTCATCTCATTCCCAGCACCCACAGGTGGGGGAGCCGATAGGCTGCTTGGTGTCCTCCGCGTAGTTTTGGGCTGCAAAGTTCACCTTGGACATAATGTGATGGAGGAACCACGCGTGACCCTCTGTTGAAATTTGACCTCCTAGTCGGGCGGTGGTGGCGCACGCCTTTAATCCCAGCACTGGGAGGCAGAGCCAGGCGGATCTCTGTGAGTTCGAGGCCAACCTGGTCTATACAGAGCAAGATCCAGGACAGGAACCAAAACTACACAGAAATGCCCTGTCTCGGAAAAAAAAAACAAACAAAAAAAAAACAAACAAAAAAACCAAACCAAACCAAACCAACTTGACCTCCTAACCAGTACCACTTTGGCAAAGCTGCTTATGTGGGTGCCTCAGTTCCCCAAGTGTGCTTCTCAAGGAAGATAATCACATCTCACTAGGAGTAGATGGAAAGCATTGAAGCACAAACACATGGGAAGTGGGGCCAGGCTGGCCTTGAACGCCGGATCCCCCTGCCTCAGCCTCTCCAGAGCTGGGTTGAGTGGTGCTACGCCTGGTTCCCTCGGCTTGTGGTCCCACCGCTGCCTTCGGGAGTTCCCTCCAGCCACGTCCCAGTTTATTACTTCTCTATTAAGTACCAGGAGGTCAGTGGCCCTTGGCTGTGCAGATGGAACTTGTCACCCCACACCCATCTTGTGCTTGGGGGCAGCATCTTGGGGACTCCTCCCTGCCGAGTTCTGCCTCTGCGGTTGTCCATGGCCTGAGAACGTCTGTGCTCCACACGGGAGACTCCTTGGTTGGCCTTTCTTGTGGGATGCGTGGCTGGGGGTGGAGGGAACCACCCACAGGGTATAGAGTCAATGTCTTTCCTCTCTCTTGCCCCCTCCAGTCTCCCTCAGCCCCTCAGTTTCCCTCCTTCGGTCCGTCTTTCTTCCTAGACACCCGTCAGGGCCAAGGTCCATTGGAAGACACATCCTCCTTTCTCTTGTAGACCCCAGAGTGGCGCCGTGGCCCTCAGTTCCTGTGCCCCCTCCCTGTGAGTGTGAGCAGAAGTGAATTTGCTTCTGACCAATGGAGCAGACAGAGGTGATTTCACTTCTGTGACTCCCGATCTTTTCCTCTGATTGACAGCCCTCCCTACTCCGAGTTCCAGCTGCTTTTTCCCTGTTTTTTCCCCCTTCTGAAGATTTCTGCATTTAAAAGTGTTCTGTTGTGAAATAATTTTAAACTTACAGGAACTAGCGCTTGGTTGCCGCCCCCCTCCCGGATCGCAGCAGGGCGGCCAGATGGCCAAGCAGCTGTGCCTCCACTTCACCACAAGTCACCTGTTTTGTTTTGTTTTTTTTTAAAGACAGGGTCTCCATCTGCAGCCCAGACTGGTCTGGAACTCACAGCACTCCTTCTGCCTCAGCTCTCCCAGTGCTGGCATGCAAGTGATTCTGTGCCCTTTTCTTGGTGGTGCTGGACTGGACCCCAGGACCTTTGCACACACCGAGTAGTTCACATTTCCTGAGAGTCTCTAGGGGGCTCTAAGAACAGTTTGTCCTCACCTGGAGAGACTCATCCCTTTTTGATACTGCCTCAGTTTCCCATTACCTCCGTGTTCTTCCTGTCAGAGAGACCCGCCCTGTGGCCTCCCAGTAACTGTTAAGGTTACTGGTCCCCTGGGTGCCTGTGACTGCAAACAGCTGGAGTCCAATAAGGAGTGTGTGTGAGATGGAAGCCGCCTGGTCAGAGTGACTCAGTGTCCCCAGGTGCAATTTGTCAAGCGCTGGGCTCTGCCTAGCATCAGTGTGCGTACACATGTCCTGACACGTGCCACTGTGTGATTCCCGCACAAGTTCGGGAACCTGGGTTCGAGTCCCCAGAACTCGCACCCAGCACTGAGGTCCCTGGGCCTCGCAGGGCGGCCCAGCCACGATCAAGGCCCTGCCTCGGAATGAGTGGTGTGTGGGGAGGGCCAGGGCCTCCGGGGTCAACGTCAGCCTGCTCTTGTGAGGCAACAGGATTGCTGTGACTTCCAGACGGCAATACGATGATTGACAGGTGTCACGGTGCAGGCCCTGGGGCTGCTGTGCAGTTTATGCACAGTACGAGCTCTCCCAGAAACCGCTGTCAGTCATCTGCGAGAGATGGGAGATGGGGCCAGGTGTTGTCGGCCGGGGTGGGGGCGGGGATTATGGGCAGGTGGTAGAACCTTAAAGGGGCGGGGCCTGAAGGGGGGCTCTAGGTTGGGGGGTGCCCTTGAGAAGGGGCTTGTGGGACCCCAGATTCCTCTTCCCCTCTGTCCCACTCTCTTTGTCTCTCTCTCTCTGCAACAGGGAAGGCCTGACTATACACGCTGGCTTTGAACTCCAGGCAATGCCCCTGCCTCAGCTTCCTGCGTGCTGGGGGTGACAGGTGTGCCCCACCACACCCCGTCTTTTCTCTCTCTCGGATCCGTCCACCTCTGGGACGGACCCTGTGACGCCATGAACCAGAGACAATCCAGCCTGGTGCCCACGCCTTTAACCCCAGCACTTGGGAGGCAGAGGCAGGAGGATCGCTGTGAGTTCCGGGCCAGCCTGGGCTACGTAGTGAGACCCTGTCTCACAAAAACAAGAAAACGACAAATGAGCAACTCCACAGGCCCACCGGCCTCGCTCTTTCTCATCAGACTGCGTCACGGTCCCGCGGGACTGGCTGGGAAGGCTGGCGGGCGGCGACGCCGGGACAGGAGCGAGTCCCACTGCCTTTGCAGCCGAGCAGAGGCACCGCCTGTCTCCGAACTCCAGCCACGGCCGATTGTGGCGGGAGCACCGACCGCACCAGACATCACCTGAGCCACACACACGCGTCCTCATGCCATGCAGGCCAGAGCTCTGATTGGCCAGCGCTGGTCACATGCTCCCCCCCCAGGGAAGACGGCCCCTCCCTGCACCCCACTCCGCTAGCCTCAGGTTGGACAAGGCAAATGTCGTCACAGGAGGGGAGAGAGCAAGGGCCAGGGGGGCAGGCCCTTCCCAAGGGCGGCACAGCAGGTCATCGGGTTTGAGGGAGGCAGAGGGCAGCACCTTGTAGTTTCAGTTTTCTTGATCTCCCCGCTAGAGTAACAGTCCTCTACTGTAGCACATCCATTCTCCATAGCCGCAAAGTGACGCTGGCGATGGAGATGATGGCCCACTGGTGCCAAAGCCGGAGAGCGGATCCGGATCCGTCTCTAGGTGCCCCGAGTGGGGCTCCTTCTTAGTATCTGTGTCAGTGGGAGGGTGTGTCCCCTCACCAAAATACAAGCTCTTTTCTTCCTGGGTTGTTCTGTTTGTGCTTTGAGGTGGAGACGCTGAGCAGGGCTCAGTCAGTCTGAGCCCTGAGTCCCTGTGGCCATCACATGAGCCAAGGACTTACATGGGGCCTGGTGTGTGGGGGGGACGACAAGATTCCTCCTCCCTGGGGTGGCTGAGCGGCTGTGCTGTGGACGGAACAGCAGGGAACCCCAAGAATTCCTTGTGGAGCTCTTCCCTGTGCCTCAAGGCCCTGAACTCTACCCTTGTGCCCGGATGCCAGTTTCTCCTTTCAGGAACTGATGTCACATGGGCACATCTCCTGGGCACTTTTGGTAATGACCTTAGTCGGGGTTAAGTAATGCTCCATCAGCCGGGAGTCCGCACAGCGGAGTGTTCTTGGGCATGCGTGACACTGACGTCACAGAGGTCGGTAGCTTCTAGAACGCCGAGGTGTCATCCTCAGAGCTGGTCTCCTGGACACCAGGTGGGCTGCGCTGTCCCCAGGAGCCACTTCCGCTTGAGGCCCTGAGTCTGGCCACAGCAGGCGCCGCTCCCACCCCGCCACCGGCTCCCCGGGTGGCTCCGGAGATGCCCGAGGGGCTCCTGTGCCGTCCCACGCGGGACTCGGCGGCGCGCGACAGCTGGAGGTAGGGGCGGCCATGGCGCGGTCGGCGTGGGCCCGAGTAGCCCCGGTGGCCCTGGTGGCCCTCTGGCTGGTCCTGTCCCCGTCGTCCGCGGACGCGCAGGTTAACCTGAGCTCCGTGGACTTCTCGGAGCTCCCGGCGCTACTCGGGGTCCCCTTGGACCCCCCCCAGGGCGCACGCAGCTACCTGCTGGTGGCCAGGCCGGCCGACGCCTGCCTCGCCATCGAGAGCCCTGGGCCCGACAACAACTCACTGGACCCCCTCGTGCTGGTCCGGCCCCTGGGCTGCAAGTGGGAACGCACGGGGCGGCGCGCGCTGAGGGCTGGAACCACAGCAGCCTCCGCGCGCACTGAGGAACCAGGGCAGCTGCGCGTGTACGACGACCTGGAGGTGACCGTGCGCTGCGACCGGCCAGCGCGCGTCCTGCTGCCCCACGGGGGACCCTGTCCGGACCCCGAGTGTCACCCCGCCGTGGCAGCGTCCTGGGCGCTCGCTCGAGCCCTGGCCCTGGCCGCGTCCACGCTGTTCGTGTTGAGGCAGCTGTGGCCGTGGATCCGGGGTTGGGGGAGCCGGGGCACCACGGTGAAGACGCAGACGTGCCAGAAGGCGCAGGTGCGTACGTTCACGCGCCTCAGCGACCTGTGCGCCATCTGCCTGGACGACTATGAGGAAGGGGAGCGGCTCAAGATCCTGCCGTGCGCGCATGCGTACCACTGCCGCTGCATCGACCCCTGGTTCTCGCGCGCCGCCCGGCGCTCCTGCCCCCTGTGCAAGCAGTCGGTGGCCAGCACGCACGACGGCTCCACGGACAGCAGCGTGGGCGGCGACGATCCACCCCTGCCCGAACACTGCCCACCCATCTGGGCCATCCAGGCCCGGCTGCGCTCCCGCAGGCTCGAACTGCTGGCCCGGACAGTCCCCTGCCGTCGCTGCAGCAGCACCACGTCCCTGGGGATGGCCGAGAACGTGGAGCCGTCAGCAGAGACCTACGAGCCCTCCTGACCCCAGCTGGTGCGGGGAGGGGCAGACAGTAGGAGAGGGGTGCGGGTGGGTAGTGCCCAATAAAGTGAGTTTGAATCTGGACGATTCCCGCTGTCCCGAGCTGTGCTGCGTAATCCCGCCGCCCGGGACCCGCCCCAGGAGAGCCGCGCCCTGTCCCGCCCCGTCCATTCATTAATCATGGCCCCGCCCCGCCCCAGAATAACCACGCCCCCATCCCGCCCCGGCATAGCCACGCCCTGTCCTGCCCCGTCCATTAATTAATCATGGCCCCGCCCCGCCCCGGAATAACCACGCCCCTCATCCCCGCCCCGGCATAGCCACGCCCTGTCCTGCCCCGTCCATTTATTAATCGTGGCCCCGCCCCGCCCCACCACGCCCCTCATCCCCGCCCCGGCATAGCCACGCCCTGTCCCGCCCCGTCCATTTATTAATCATGGCCCGCCCCGCCCCGGAATAACCACGCCCCTCATCCCCGCCCCGGCATAGCCACGGCCTGTCCTGCCCCGTCCATCCATTAATCATGGCTCCGCCCCGCCCCGGCATAGCCACGCCCTGTCCCGCCCCGTCCATTCATTAATCATGGCCCCGCCCCGCCCCGGAATAACCACGCCCCTCATCCCCGCCCCGGCATAGCCACGCCCTGTCCCGCCCCGTCCATTCATCAATCATGGCCCCGCCCCGCCCCGGCATAGCCACGCCCTGTCCCGCCCCGTCCATTCATTAATCATGGCCCCGCCCCGCCCCACCACGCCCCTCATCCCCGCCCCGGCACAGCCGCGCCCCGTCCCGCCCCGCCCCAGCGCAGCCTCTCCCAGTCAAGCCTCGCCCCTCTTCAGCGTAGCCTCGCCCCATCCCCACCACGGCCACCCCCTGGCAAGCATAACTAGTACTCGTTTGCCCCGCCCCAGCATAGCCACGCCCCCACACCCAGCATAGCCACTCCCCGTCCTGCCTGGGGGCACGGGGGCGGGGGGGGGGAACAGGGTGTTGCGGGGGAGGGACCCTTTGAACAGCTGCATCCCGAGGCCAAGGCCAGGCAGTCTACTCCACTATTTCGCCTCCCTGAGCCTCAGTTTCCCCATCTGTAAAATGGGCTCAGCAGTGACACCTGCCTCACCAAGTCTAAGGATGGTTTTTCACAGAACGTGCGAAGGCCTGGGAGAGCGGCCAGCATTTGTTGGCTAGGTGACCCGCTCTGCTGTCAGGAGAGGTGAAGGCCCGCGGTGGGACAAGGCCGCCGTCCTGGAGGCCCGGGATGGCCGCCTCATCCAGCGGGCGCCTGGAAGGGCACACGGGGTTCCCCTCCTCCTGTGAGTGGGGTCCCCCGTTTTGTCGCAGCCTCTCTGTCCCCCACCCAAGCCCGGGCGCATGTCCAGCCGCCTCCGGCTGCCGCCGGCTGCCAAGAGTCCCAGCTGCTGGGGCGCCCGCGCCAGCTCCCCACCGCGACTCCGGCGGGGGCCCCTTCCTGCCCGGCCAGGCGGCGCCATCTGTGTCCGCCTGCGGAGGGCCCGGGGGAAACTGAGGCTCTGCAGAGCGTGCTGGCCGCGGGCCGCGGGCAGCCTTCAGGGCACAGGCGTCGCTCATTCCACCGGGGATCCCAGGACACCCTTGTCCGGAAGGGAAACTGAGTCTCCCAGGCTGCTGCTGGACCACGGGCGCAGAAGCAGAAGGGAGCCGGGTTTGAACCGAGTGCCAAGGCTACCCAGACCCGGGCCATGCAGATAGGCGCGGACCCCGGACTTCAGCTTCGGGGATCCCCAGGCCTGGGTGCCGGGGCACCCGGGTGGGCAGCTCTGGGGTGCTTCGGGTCCAGGGTCTCTCCCTTCGGGGTCCAGTCAGATCCGGTGCAGGCCGAGCGCTCACCCCGACCCCTTCACCCCTCCCCGCACCGTCCCTCCTCCCCTCCCCCTCCTCCCCCGCCCCGTTCTCCTCCCCACCTCTCCCCCCTCCTCCCGCGCTCCCCCCAGCCCCCAGCCAGGCCCAGAAGGGGAGGACATCTTCGGAACAGATGGCCGCCGTCCGCGCCCAGCGCTTTGCCAGTTAATTAACGCCGCCTGTAATTAAACTTCCCACAAATTAGCTGTCAGCGTCGCTAAAGGGAACCGTCCTCTCAGATGCCACCTTGACGAGCGGGATCCTGAGTCTTGTCAACAGGATAATTAAAGGGGGGCGGGGGGCTCGCGGATCTTCCTCCCCTAATATCTCTATCCGCACCGCGGGGGGCCGCGGAGACGCGTTTTTCCTCGTTTCATGAATTCGCAGTTTGCATTGTGTTTCTGAGTCTTTATTGAGGACCTACTGTGTGCGGGCACTGTGCTGGGGGCAAGCGGTGCCGGGGATCATTGCCCAGCTTGGCCGGCATCCTGGGGCACGTGCAAAGGCCCGAGGGGGGGGGACCCGGGAGTCTCTCTGCCTCAGTGTCTCTCTATATCTCTCTTTGTTTCTATGTGTCTGTCTCTGTCTCTCTGTCTCCCTCCCTCCTCAGCGGCTCTGAGCTTTTGCAGCTGCCCCATCCGAGTCCTTAAATCCTGCCTTTGCTGCGGATGCAGCGGGGGTCGGGGGCAGTTTCTTCACGCTTAAAACCACGACCAGCGGCTGCTCCCGCAACACAGTGTGCGCGAGTCTACCCCACCCAGCATCAGCTCTGCCCATGCGTCGGAATATGATGCAGTTGTCAAAAAGGAATGAGCTTTACAGGGCTTTACTCGCACGCCCTTAGCCGACCTGGGGGTGCTGCACCGAGTTCCAGGATGCAAAGCCCTCTTGGTCCCATGTATGTGCGTGGAGGCTGAGTGGGCAGAGCGTTCTGGAGCTCACAGGACACCCGTGGAGGGTCATAAGGGCTGAGTCACGGCTGCTGCATACAGACGTCGAGGCCAGCCTGGGCTGTGTGACATCCTGCCTCAAAAAATAGTGAAAGAGCCAGGCAGGTTGTGAGGCAGAGGCAGGAGGATCTCCGGGAGTTCGAGGCCAGCCTGGTCTACACAGGGAGACCCTGTCTCAAAACAAAAACAAAGCCAGAAAGACCCAAAAAGTGAAGAAATGAATGAACCTGAGGGCCAGCCCAGAGCCAGTGGCCAGCGATTGCCCAGCAGGGCCAGGGGTCCCACCCCCATATCACAGACCAAAGAAAGACAAACCTCAGGACTAGCCCGTGAGATTCACTGCTTCCTAAAATTTTGCGCCGTAGAGGAGGCCGGATCTTTCACTTTGCCTACCCTGGCCTTCACGGTGACTTACACCTGTGTTGCGCACTCTGGAAAAGCTGAGGCAGGAGGATTGTCATGAGTTCAAGGCCAGCCTGGCCTACGATAGGAACGTGTGTTCGTTCAAAATGAAATGAAAGAAAATAAAAATAAATCTAAAACAAAGCATAAAAATAATTGAAAGTCGTGTAAAAAAATAAAACGAAGGCTGGCAAGATGGCTCAGTGCGCGAAGCCTGCTGACCTGAGTTCGAGCCCATGACAAGGTGGAACGAGAGACCTCTGACCTCCACAAGTGAGCGGGGGAGCACATGCCCCCAGCCCCAATAAATAATACTAATAAAATTTTTTAAATGGGATAAAGTACAAAATAAACCAATTTTAAAGACAAAATAAAAAATAGAAAACAGAACGCGCACGTGGCAGTCTGGGCGCTGCATGCCACGTCGGTGTCAGACTGACACGCCTCAGGCGCTCAATCAATGTGTGGGGCGTGGCGGCATGGGCGGTGAGCTGGCACACAGTAGGTGCTGCAAAACGGCGCACACGTGTCATCCAGCACACCCGGGAGAGGCGGAGGCAGGAGGACCAGGGGTTCCAGGCCAGGCTGGACTCCACCGTGCTCCCGAGGCTAGCCTGGGCTACCGGAGACCTGGTCTCAGAAACTCAGAACTTAAACATTAGAAGCGCTTCTTTCTGGAGAGATCCGTGCAACCCCTTCTGCAAGGCGGCGAGTCCCGCCCCGGAGGACAAGCCTGTGACCTGCCAGCGACGAATCAGGACGCGGATCCCGGCATTACCTCATCGCGAAGCACGTCCATTGGCTGCGAGTCCTGCGGCGGCTGAATCACCACAGCGCCTGCGCAGACTTCCCAGGCCTCTGCGGGCAGCTTTGGGGGCCAGAGGGAAATGTGGGCGCCCCTCCTCCAGCTCAGAAAGGAGCTTAGCGTGCGGGAGGTTCTAGAACCCCGCTCCCTGCCCCTGTGGTTCCAAATTCTGCTTGGAGACACCCTGGCCCCAGTCACACCTCAAGTTGGAGACTGTGCCTGGGGCAGGGGATGCAGCTGTGCAAAGGCCCCGGGGCAGGGGATGCAGCTGTGCAAAGGCCCCGGGGCAGGGGATGCAGCTGTGCAAAGGCCCCGGGGCAGGGGATGCAGCTGTGCAAAGGCCCCGGGGCAGGGGATGCAGCTGTGCAAAGGCCCCGGGGCAGGGGATGCAGCTGTGCAAAGGCCCCGGGGCAGGGGATGCAGCTGTGCAAAGGCCCCGGGGCAGGGGATGCAGCTGTGCAAAGGCCCCGGGGCAGGGGATGCAGCTGTGCAAAGGCCCCGGGGCAGGGGATGCAGCTGTGCAAAGGCCCCGGGGCAGGGGATGCAGCTGTGCAAAGGACCCGGGGCAGGGGATACAGCTGTGCAAAGGTCCCAGGGCAGGGGATACAGCTGTGCAAAGGCCCCGGGGCAGGACAGAGCCTAACAATTAGAGGGGCAGGGAGGAGGCCTGTGGAGTAGATGTGTCAGGGAAAGAGGCAGGAGGTGCAGGGCAGGGTGGAGAGAGCCTTGCGGGCTTCGGAGAGAACCGGCCCTCGGTCTGAAGGAGCCGTGGAGGGCTGTGGATAGAGGAGGGGGCGAGTTGACTCGTAGTCACAGGAAGTAGATGACGGTGCAGACATGCTATGCTCCCTGTGGTGGAGGAAGTAGGTCGTGGGCCCCCTCCCCGTGAACATGAGTGGGGCTGCAGCTCCCCGTGCTCCAGGCCAAATTGATGAGTAAGCCGCTGCAGGCGACAGTGGCGGCTGACTCAGTGCTGCCCGTGGCGGCTGCCGTGACTACTGAGTCACATGCACCCCTGCGATGCTGCCATCCCAGCCTCAGCTGCTCTTCATTCTAGACCCTCCCCAAGCCTCCCAGGTGCAGCTGGGGTATGGCTTCGGTGTGGTTCCGTGTCTGCCCTGAACCCTCCATGGCTCCCTGTTTCCCACAAAGCGACTGTCCTCCGGGGGGGTCCAGCTTGTGTGTGACCACTCTAGGTTCTGGCTCCCGTCCGGGAGCACCAGCCACTGTCATTCGTCTGCACAGTGACTTCGTCTCCAAGCCCAGCCTCGGGCAAGCCTGCGCAAGGCTCTGCTGTCCTGCAGCTGCGCCTGTCCCCGCGGGCCACCGTCTTTGAAGCCCCCGCAGCAGCTCCCCAGCGCCCGCCCAGGCACAGTCCTTTTGTACACGTCCTGTGCGCCCTCCACTCAGCGCCCTGCGCTGCCATCCCGACTCTGTCAGCACGCTTGGAGGCAGGGTCCGTCACCGCACCTGGAGCTTGATGTTTGACCTGACTCCCAGCGAGCTCTGTGTCCTCCTGTCTGTCCTCCCAGTGTCCTGAAGCCCCAGACGTCATTACACCCTCTTCCGTAAACCCCTTTCCAGCTGGGGTAGGAAAGTCCTCTCTTCAGGAGTTAATGAAGACTAACCCTGTCCCAGGAGCCCCAGTGTCCCACGTGGGCCTCGGAGCACAGGGGTCCCCACTTCTCCCACATCCATGTGGCAGGAGAGCGAGGCCCCACAGGGATGCACATCCACAGAGGCCAGAGTGAGGCCAGACCCCGGCCTGTGGCCTCTTCTTGCTCCCAAGCCTGTCTCCCCATGTGTGTGATGGACACGGGCAGTTGACGTAGGTGTGACGCAGAAGTGGCTGTCTGCTACGTTCTGTCTGAACTTGGGGTGACAAGTGGCAGGGTCTCCCTTACGGCCCCTGTTTAAGACAAGTGCTTCCAAGCGTCCCCAAGAGAGGGACACTCGAGTCTGCTCTGGAGCCATGAACTTGGCACTGCTATTCGATGGCTCAGGACTGGAGCAGTATAGACAGGGATGGTTCAGGCTTGTGGAAAAGAATCAAATTCTTTGGGCATCTGGTGTTCCCCTTGACCTGTCTGGCCTTGTTACTTGTTCAGTGTCTTGGTGCCCTTAACGTGCATCATCATCACCGTTAGCATCACCATCAGCAAATCACCACCATCACCATCACCAAACCACCACCATCACTACTATCACCATCATCACCATTATCCCCATCACCAAACCACCACCATTACCATCACCAAACTACCACCATCATCACCATCACCATCACTACCACAATCACCATCACCACCATCACCAATCACAATTATCACCACTGTCACCATCACCACCATCATCACCACCACCACGACCATCATCTTCACCTTTCCAGTCTACCCAGCATTCACTGCGCCCTGAGACATTGCTCAGAGTGGACCTTGGATGCGGCTGACCAGCCCAGGCCTTTGTCCTTCGGGATCTCCTGTGGTCCTTGTTCCCATTTTACTGATGCGCATACTGATGCCGAGAGGGGGCACACAGCCGGATTCACATCAGGTGTGTGAGACTCGCTCTGAGAGCCAGCGATGGCAGGTCGGTGGGTCGGGAGCTGCGCCACATCCCCGTCCACGTGGCTGGAGCCGGGTCTGCAGATGCTCACGGAGCGGACTTGTCACCAGCTCCGCGGAACTCTGATAAATCGAGAGAATTAAAATCCGTTTAGAGGGAAATCTCTAAATAGGCCTGTGTTGCGTTTTCTGCTTTTTCCCCTCCCCGCTGTCTCGGGCTGGTAATGTATTCCAGACGCAGAACGGAGGCTGACTTAATTGAATTTAAAAGCAGGTGTTACATCTGCCCGGTGTGAACCACAGCACGTGGAGAAGGCCAAGGACGGCGGACAGCGAGGGGGTTTACTGCGTGTGCCTCTTCGTACCAAGAAAGGAGAGTGGAGCCCCTCTTGGGGATCTGGGCTCGTACTTAGTGCGGGTACTCCAAAAGGTCAGGGCCCCAGGTCGACTGGGGAGATCCAGGCATCTGGAAGGTGAGTGGATGAACCCAGGCAACACTCACTTCTTCTGACTTTACGGGGAGGGACCTCATCTCAGACAGCCCAGCCATATTAGCATCAAGGGGCCCTAACCCTCACTGGGGGATTCTAGGCGGGGCTCCACCCGTGACCACATCCTCAGCTCTTTGGGTTTTGAATTTAAATTTATTTAACGGGTGGGTGGTTTTTCCATATGTATGTCTGTGCACCATACACATACCTGGTTCCCACAGAGGCCAGAAGAGGGCTTCAGGTTTCCTGGAACTGGAGTAACAGACAGTTGTGAGCCGCTCTGTGGGGGCTGGGAATCAAACCCAGGTCCTTCGCCGGTGCTTATAACTGCTGTGCTAACTCTCCTGCCCCTCAATGTCACTTTAAGATGGAGCCTCACTGAGTTGCCTACATTCTTCTTGAACTTATGATCCTCCTGCCTCAGCCTTCTAAGTAGCTGGTATTACAGACTTCCGCCACCTGGCTTTGCTTCTAACTCTGTCATTTAATCGATGACTTCCCATCATCCCTCTCAGCCCCCAGACCCTCTGAGTCTACACATTTTGCTTTCTGGACACCTTTCTTTAAGTTGGGTCATAGTGTATTAGTCACTGTTCTATAACTGTGATGAGACACCCTGACCAGGGCAACCCTTTCAAAAGGAAGCATTTAACCGGAGGCTTGCTTACATTTTCACATGCTTAGTCCGTGTTCTTCATGGTGGGGAGCAGACAGGCATGGTGTTGGAGCAGTAGCTGAGAGTTAAATCCTTCTCTGTTGGCACCAGACAGAGACACTGGGCCTGCTGTGGGCTCTTGAACCCTTAAAGCCCTCCCTCAGTGGCACACCTCCTCTAACAAGGTCACCCCTCCTAATCCTTCCCACACAGTTCTATTACTTGGAGACCATGCTTTAAAAATAAATGAGCCAATGGGGCCTGTTCTCATTCAAACTGCCCCACACAGGGGCTGGAGAGATGGCTCAGAGGTTAAGAGCACTGGCTGATCTTCCAGAGGACCCGAGTTCAACACCCAGCACCCACATGGCAGCTAATTGTCTGTAACTCCAGTTGCAGGGGATATGGCATCCTCACACAGACATGCATGTAGGCAAAACCCCAATGTACATAATAAATAAATAAATCTTTAAACCACCCCTACACTATGTATATTGGATTTTCAAGACAGGATTTCTCTATGAGATTATGCCACTGAATATAATACCTTCAAGGCTCATCCAAATTGTGGCACATGTCACATCTTCTGTCCTTTTCATGGCTGAATAATATTTCACTATATAATGGGCCATATCATGCTCACACAGTCATTTGTGTGCGAGCTGTTTCCAGCTGTTTACTATTGTGAATGTTGCAGCACATCTGTTACAACAGCTGTGTTCCATCACTGATGGTCAACACCTAAAAAACAACACCGTTGGTTCATATAATAATTCTTTTTTTTTAAAGATTTATTTACTTATTATGTATACAGTGTTCTGTTTGCATGTATTCCTGCAGGCCAGAAGAGGGTGCCAGATCTCATTACAGATGGTTGTGAGCCACCATGTGGGTGCTGGGAATTGAACTCAGGACCTCTGGAAGAGCAGCCAGTGTTCTTAACCTCTGAGCCATCTCTCCAGCCCTCATATAACAATTCTATTAGCTATTGTTTCGTTGTTTGTTGTTTCGAGACAGGGTTTCTCTGTGTAGCCCTGGCTGTCCTGGAACTCGCTCTATAGACCAGGCTGGCCTCAAACTCAGCGATCTGCCTGCCTCTGCCTCCCAAGAGCGGGTTTAACCAAAGGTTAAAGGTGTCTCCCAGTTCTGTTTTCTGCTCTCTCAAAGGACCCTGGTTCGGTTCCCAGCACCCACAAAGTGGCTCACAACCGTCTGTAACTCCAGCTTCTGGGGATTCGACGCCCTGTTCTGGCCTCCTCGGGAACTGTACTCATGTTCACACACACATATAATTAAAACATCTTTTGCCATGGACCACAGGCCACCAGAGCCTCATGCCCTCCTGACCCCAGCCTGCCACACAGCACCGAGCTGACACTCCTCCCGTGCTTCTCAGGACCACTGTCCCCATCGCTCCCTCCAACTCAGACCCCAGCCCTCCAGAAATAGGAAGAGACCTCGCCCTGCCTTTCGGCTGTGATTGAAACTTGTCCAATCGATGCCTGTGTTTTCGATCCGCAGAGCGTTGGTGATGGATGAGGGTGGGAGTGCGAGGAAGCTGGTGGAATTTTCTCTGTTTCAGGCGCTCAGCAGACTTTCTTCAAAAAGCTATCTGGCCCAATCTCCAAATGAGAAAGCCATTAAACACACACTCACTCGCACGCTTCAGACAGCATCTCATGTCTAAAAAAAAAAAAAACAGGCAATTAATACACAGCACAAATGTTGCCTTTTGCAGGAGACGGGGTTCCAGCTGACAGGAGCAGGGGCAAAGGAAACTCCTCCCCAGTGTGGGCTCCAGCAACACAGACAAGGCCAGGAGTACAGTTCCTTTTCCGGAACCCTCTGACAGGGACAGATGGACTGCTGTGTTCCAGCCTCCCGCTCAGTGGCTGGACCACTCTGACCAGCCTGGCCTTGTCCAGGGGTCTGCAACACAGAGCAGCCTTATGAGACCTCTACTTCCCACAATCATTTGTCTCTCCATTTAACAGATTGAGTCCTTACCTAGGGCTGGGGAGGAGTGGGGGAGTAGATGGAGGAGGAGATTGGAGAGGAGATGGGGAGGAGATGGGGAGGAGGAGATGGAGGAGGAGGAGATAGAGGAGATGGAGGAGGAGGAGATGGAGGTGATGGAGGAGGAGGAGATGGAGGGGGAGGGGATGGAAGAGGAGGAGGTAGAGGAGGAAATGGAGCTTTTGTGGTCTGGGGACATTAGTTAACAGACAGACCAGCCTTCATCTTCCTGGAGCTCAGGGACACATTGCCAGCACTGTACAGTCTGGACTGTAAGGTGCCAGGCTGCTTGTCTTTTTGCTGTAGAGGTCACTCCTTCCTAATGATTGCTGTCAGGATGGGAGGCTCCTCCAAGGGGGACAGTTAAGGCTCAAGAAGCATTAGGTGCAGGGAGGTGAGTAAAGTTGGGGTGGGAAGAATGGAGTCATGAGCTTGTAAGGCATGTTGAAAAGAGCAAGAAGTTTATGCTTTCTGTTGAGGGCACAAGGGAGCCATAGAGACATGTGGAGGGAGAGAGGGGAAGGTCAGGATTCATTGAAGATGGATTGATCCTTCTGGCTGCGGTGTGGATGCCTGGAGGCCATCAGGATGCCTGGGGAGAGGGTGTTTTGTCTGAGCAGGATCCACCCTTGTGGTGGCTGTGGAACCCGGAGAGGGTAGGGGAGATCAGAAGGCTTCTTTTCATGGGGCTACCGTGGGTGAGGACACAAAGAGGAGCTGAGGTGGGACTGGGGAGAAAGGGTTGCGCTGGGGTCAGGTCCATGGTACCTGGGAGTCACCTGGAAGGAGATGTCCGGAGGGCTGGAGGGAGGGTTGTGGCTAAGCGTGTACAGACCGGGTCGGAGTAAGATGCTTGCTCCTAACAGATCCAAGCCTTGAGCTTGAATATCTCAGGCCCAAATTAAAGGCGGGAGATTAGCAATAAATAAAGGAGGAGGATGGAGAAGAAGGCAATGAGAAGGAGCAGGGGCAGGAGCAGAAGGAAGAGCAGGAAGTGGAGGAGGGGAGGAAGAGGAGGCGGCGGAGGCGGTGGAGGCTGTACTGTCTTTCATCCCCAGCAGCCCTCAACAAGGTCGGACCTTGAAGCTCTTCAAATATCTGTCTGTCTGAATCCTTCTGGGTCACATGTCCCAGACCAGTAAGACCCATGTGAACCCAACAAGAAAGAGTCCAAGAGCAGTAGGCTTCAGTGATTAGTGGTGGGAGGAAGATGAGGGGAGCAGGCCCTCCCCCATCTTCAGACTGAAGGTTCAGGAAAATGCGTGGGTCAGCCTGGAAGTCACAACCCTCCTCCTGCATTTGCTGACAGGTTGGCTGCTCGTCTGCCCTGCTCAGAGGGGTGCTGGATGCAGAGAGGATGTGAGGTTCCCCGGGAACAGCAGCACTGGACCTCACTCCCAGAAGGTGTGGAAGGAAGAGGCGGGGAGTTGTCTGAAGAGTGGCCTTTGCCACACAGAAACGATGAGGGGATATCTCGTGATGTCTCTCAAGGGATGGAGAACGGCTTCACAGGCTAAGAATTTTCAAGACGGGACATGGGTGTGGAAGTCACAACTGTGGCTCCACAGTAGAGAATGATGTTGACTTACAGCAGAGGTGGATTGTATTAGAAGAACGGTGAACACAGGCAGGCAGACGGATGGACGGATGGACGGATGGACGGATGGTCAGGTGGACGGGTGGGTGGGTGGATGGATGATGGGTGGGAGGGTGGATGGTGGATGTGTGGATGGATGGATGAGTGGGTGGGTGGATGAGTGGGTGGGTGGGTGGGTGGGTGGATGGGTAGGTGGATGGGTGGATGGGTGGATGGGTGGGTGGGTGGATGGATGGATGGATGGATGGGTGGATGGGTGGGTGGGTGGATGGGTGGATGGGTGGGTGAGTGGGTGGATGGGTAGGTGGGTGGGTGGGTA